TTCAGTATTTAGCATCCTGCATTCAGTCACTTTTGACCGGTACGGAATTGACCGTTACATCTCGCAACATGCTGAGGGCGATCATTAATTTAGGTAACAGAAAAACTTGGGATCACCAAAAGGGGGCTTTTGTTTTACTTGGCCAAATTGTTCCAGACTCGTCGACGACCTACCTACCAAGTCGGACAACTCAGTTTACCGCCGGGCAGCCTATTTATCGAGTGAGTGTATGAAGAAAGGGTGGGTAAGCTAGCAACGGGTTTTGGCACCGATTCCATGGCAAAGGCGAGGGGAAACTTCAGTGATTATTGCTGAAGAAACTTGCCTTCTTACAAAACAGACATTTGGGCTAGTTATTAATCATTTCGAAGACGACACGGCCACTTCTTTTGGGGATATTGTAATCAAATGCAACATCTGTTACAAACAGTTCCTAGGGATAGGTGCTTTAGGCAATTTGGCATTGGCTTATCTTTATTTGGCACGACATTAACCCTCCGACCACGGATACATGCCATTGTTTTTTCAGGATCAAAGATTTGAAGGGGAGGGGGTAGGCTAATTTGAATTACAACAAAAAAAAATTAATTTAATTTAAAACAGGAGAGACAGAGCCAGCGATGGCGGATGATATGTTGCGGCCGTTCGTCCCATATTATTCGATGCCATCGTTTACAAAGTAATTTTTTACAAGTTTATATTTTTGAGTTTCCAGAATAGCAGAAACCATCAGTTTGTTAGGTGAAATCTAGTTTAAAAAAGTCTGGGAAAAACTTAGAGGAAACAATGTTTAGAAGATCCAGATGAATTAATTTATGTGAAGCCTAAATGGTACCTTCAAATCATCTCGGTGCCAAATTTTTTTTGTCTTAAGCGTTGAAATCTTAACTGTGCAAGAAAATGTAATATTGAGTGTACGTGGCATTATAAGCAAGTCGCAAAATTGGTTTGAGAAAGAGTTAAACATTAATAATTTTTGAGAAAAATGGCTGCATTTTTCAGAGATTTGCCAGAAACGAAGAAACTTGGTATCATCCTGAAGTGAGTTTTTTTTAAACTCTTTAATTAAAGAACGTTAAATAACCCGGAATCAATATTCGAATAATGTGCGTATTCAGATTTATTTCTTTGCAATGAGAAAAATAAAACTCAAAGTATAAAATTTTGGTGTTTTTCATGCAAAGAACAAGCTTGAAAAAGTTGTTTTTTTTCAACAGAAGAAGAACCTATTTTTTCGTGTTTTTAGAGATTCATCAATCGCAAGGGCTCAGCAATTTACCGTTAAACCGCATAGATGCACCGAGATTCTGATGCGCATCGTTAATTATTTCTTTTGCATATTATGAAAATAATGCATGCACATAAATGAGAACTGTGCATACCATAGAGTAGAACAATAAGCGCGTATTGCAGGCACTTGTACTTTCTAAAGCGCGAGGGTCCTGATGCGCAAGAGGAGCTGGTAAAAATGCTGAAGGAAACGATAGAAAAATATTCGACACCGCACAGCGGATTCTACCACGATCCACGGCTTCTGGAAGTTTTCTTAATCCAGGTAACCTGCTTTGATCTGGTTTAGTTCCAGGAAGAGCTTCACTGAAGTTGAATA